GGCCTATCCTTGAGTTCCAACATACAAAATACATCTTTGAGTTTGTAATTAAATAGCATATTTGCCATTTTATTTTCAACTGAAACTGGCCTACATTCTTCTCCCACTGCACAATGATAACCTTCATGTTTCTCCTACTGTACAAAGACTCGTGTCTATTCATGTTCTCATGATGTATCCATTCACCATGTTGACCCTAGAATTACAAAGTTAAAAAGTTTCAAAGATTTCTTTCGTGTTTAGAGTTACACTGCCCCTTAGACAAAGCAAAATAATAAATTCTCAACAAACTGACATTTCTTTTACCATTTTAAATTCTATTCTACTAAACATGGTGGTGATGTCATGAGAAAAGATTTATCTATAAATCTATAAAAACAATTTGAAGTAGAAACACTTTAAATTTTAAACTGACATATTTTTTCCCTTTACTGAGCATGATAAAAAGAATTCTTACTTAATTACTTCAACTAGATTAAAATGATTTTTCAGAAACTTCTAAATGACAATATGCACATTGCATACAGTATGGCATCTGTCCAGGAAATTCAGTATGAGGAATTTCTTCCACATTTTCAGAAAATTACAGCATAACAAGGGTTCGTTACCCTGTGTATCAAGCAATCAAGGGCCATCTAAATGCAATGTCATTTCTGTGTTATGCCCTCTCCAACATAATGGTGAGTTGGCGCTAAGTCTTGGCCAGTACCAGAACTTGAACACAGAACCTGACTTCAGGTTGATCCCAAACGTGACTCCATGTCCTTTCCACGACAACATTCCTACAACGTGCCGGTGTATTCACGCATCTTGGGTCAATAACTCATTTCTCACTGGACCAAAACAGATTTCATCTATTTTGAAATACCAAGGGAATAACAGCTTCATTTTTTCTTTCGTCCGCCAAGTTTTGCACATTTAGCTTTTTATTGAAATTGACTGGGTTTTTTTCTGCAAAATGACAAATTTTCATCAGATATTTTATTGACTTTATCCGATTGTGAAGATTCAATAATCTTCACATTTCAAGGGCTGTTTTTTTTTTATTTCTTAGATAAATATCAGATTTTCAAAAGTAGTGATGTTGATTTTATCAGACACAAACATCTAACATCTAATAATTGACTTGCAGAGGAACAGCATTATTTATTTATTGGGGAGTTTCATAGGATAAAACAAATTAATCTGGTACAAATCTGTGTTTAATCCAAATATGCAACAAACTAAAAGGGTAAATACTGTATCATTATCTTGAATAAGATTGCATAGTGTTGATTGTGTATGTTGATAATGCAGGTTTACATGTTCATGATTATGCAGCTTCAACAAACACAAACTGTCCTTGTAATAACCCACTTCATCAGTAAACACCAATCCAACTACCAGTAGGCCACAACTGATTTGTGATTTGTAGTTCAGGACAAAACTACTAATCCTTATCCTCCGTGGGAATTCCGGGTTAGAATAGGTCTCCAGGGTAAAGCTTTTGTGTTAAGTTTCAACCATCAACAGTCCCAAGGTGATTAAATCAATAAATTTGTGACGAATCAAATTTTTAAAAAACTTCACGAAGGATTTTTTCATTTCCAAAATACCTCATGTCAAGCCTGTTCTCTAATTCTGGGCATCTGCCAACAATAAGCAATAGTAAAAGATTCTGGAGCTTCACTAAAACGCAGGCTTGAAGGTCAAAGCTACATCATTTGTATTTCTTTTCCCGAAAAACAAGATAACATGTAAAGCTCATAAGAACATGATGAAATGTCTGTCATACACCTACAGAGAAGGGCTCCCTCATCTCACTTCCCCAAAGCGAAATATTGTATAAAATATAAAATATAGAATAATTCAAAATCAAATCAAAGATGGTAGAAGTTGATACATTTAATGTTTACAAGAGTGATATCATTTATTGTCACAATAAACTCTCACTATGAAAACAGAAACATGAAATCACTGAAATTAACAACATTAAGTAAGACAGGATTTACATGGTCAGCATTTATATTAAAAGAGTATGTATCACAATACACTACACTTGATCTGAAAAGTTATACACACAAAATTACATACAATCTGTATGAGTTACAGATACATACTCATGATAGGGCTCTTTGTATTCTATCATAAGCCCATAATCTGGCTAAGAAGCACAAACCCTGGAACTTATTCAACACCTGGGTCATAAGGAATTCAGTCAACCTATAACCTAATATACATTATCAGGGCCTTTCACTACCCACTATAGCCCTAATCAAGAGTAATCCTTCTATAAATACAAAATGAACATAAACAGCTCAACACACCAGATCAGATGCATACATACAAAATTACAGCACATGAGCCTTTAACCAAAACAAAATTCTTTTTCATCTCCACTTTTCATCTTCATTTCTGTAAATATAGAGTGTCCAGACACAAATGAGCATTTTCTGTTAAACAGATCAAATGCTACTGTAATATTTAAGAGTATTTGAGAGCTTTTCCCAGTCTCCTTCGTGGCATCTTGATTGGACAGATGGGCCAAGGAATGACAATGAGCCACTTGACTTGGCTTGGAAGACATTTTACATTGGCTACTTCAGCGGATGGCAATGGACTTCTTTAGGGTTTTTCAAACTACTTAAGCAAAATTTAATTTTAAACATGTCAGATTTAACATAGTGTGGCCATCCTGTGTCTGGGATTGTTGAAATGTCTGGGATGAAGACACAGAGTAAACAATGCCTGGGAGAACGTGTCACCAACTGATAGCAGTGATTGAATTAAGGGAAGGCCCTGGGGCCCTTGAGGTTTGTTCTCATAGAACTCAAATCTTGGACTCCCCTGAATCTTTACCTTTTAACATTAGGGTATTGACAAGGACCCTTCGACTTTCAGGCTTTATTTCAAACATGGGATAGGTTGTGAGAGTCATTTGAGAATCATTTGAGAGTCATTTGAGAGTCCCCCGAACATTTTGGGTTAGAATTGGTCTTCAGCAACCCATGCTTGTCGTAAGAGGCGACTAACGGGATCGGGTGGTGAGGCTCGCTGACTTGGTTGATTCATGTCATCATATCCCAATTGCGTAGATCGATGCTTATGATGTCAATCACTGGATTGTTTGGTTCAGACTTGATTAATTACAGACAGTCGTCATATAGCTTGAATATTGCTGATTGCAGTATTGAACAACAAACAAACAAACAAACATTTGAGACTGGGAATACGATACCTGGTAAAATATTTCCGAACTTATCACTTCACAATAAATACAAATTTAAAAAATACAGCACACATTCCAAGTCATATGTATGAACTGATGGAATGAATCCTAAATCCACCAACTCTACTGACCATCAGTCAAAACACCCAAACCAGTTTCTGTCCAAAACGTTTGAGTCAAGCTAGTCTACTGGGGCCTTTTTGATGGACTATTATGAATTTGGTGAACTTACTGGACCAAAATAAATGGCTATCGGACTAGTGACTAAATTGCTTACTGCTGACATACTCTTATCTTACGCCATAACAACTTTTTACCCTGTAGATAAATATGTGTTAAAAGCAATGTTGTCACTATTTCAGCCATGTTGTGATAAATGATGAATATATAGCCATCTGGCCAATACTATGGATGCTATCTACACAACAAGTTTTCCTGCTGAGAATGTCTTTGACAGCAGCAATGTCATTACCTTTAAGCACAGCAGTGTAATCACTTGACAATAACTATGAACACTGCACATAATCATCACCCGAAATCTGACAGCTGCTGGTCCCACAGGACTATTTTGTTGTTCTGCTAACACCCCATAAATGTAGGAGTTGTGAAACCCCATCAGCTGGAAACCTCAGGGGCTGTAATTGCTGACCCAGCACATTTTGTGGTTGTCCCACTACACCAAACTGCCCAATTGCCCTTCCACCTTATAGTGCTCTAACCCAACACACACCCTTGAGAATCACTATGTGATTACCACTCTTCTGATTAGGCTTTAATCAATTAATTATTAGATTTTCATCCCTGGCCACCTCACTGCTAATGCCCTGCCTCATGTTATTGTCCCAGGTACCTACAGATCAAGAAAATCACTTCACATGTTGCTACTTTCCTTAGTTGATGAAACACACCATGCACACAGTCCTACCATACATTCATGCCTCATGTTAATCACCTCTATCGGCAGTCTAAGAGAAGTCTTAACAGTTTGCATTAAATATATAAAAAAGAAGAAAAACAATATGCCTTCCACCTCACATTAAGACATCAAGTCATTGAGTGAGTATGGTTTTATGCCGTTTTTAGCCATACTCCAGCAATATCACAGCGGGAGACACCAGGCTTCACACAATGGGCTTCACACATTGTACCCATGTCGGGAATCGAACCCGGGTCTTCGGCATGACAAGCGAATGCTTTAACCACTAGGCTACCCGACCACCCCACCTCACATTTAGTACAATATTGGATGAAAAGCTAAACATCCTTGGGCTTGCACCATTGCTTCACTCAGGACATATAATTCATGACTTCTTGTAGTTGGTTCGTCATTATAAATATTAACTTCTGTAAGGTTCAACAGAGTGCTTCATATTTGTTTGATGTTTAACCCCCCACTCAGCAATATTCCAGCTGTTTGAGGGTAGTCTGCAAATAATCAAGTTTGGCCAGACAATCCAGTGATTGATATTGTGAACAACAATCCACACTTTTGGGGTACGATGACATGCTATCAACAAAGTTCCTGAACCTGACCACCAGATACATTTGGTCACCTCTTTGGGCTAGCATGGGTTTCTGGGGACCTATTCTTACCCGGAACCATCACAGGGTAGCTTCATATCAACAACAAAAATTGCTGAATAAAATTTATTTTTTTTACATTACACTGAGTGAACACACTTCTACTTTATTGTTACAACTGTTCCCTCATTCCTTTCCGTCATTTTATCAGTGTTTGTTACTCATGGTACCTGTACTACCAGTCATGACATCATGTTCCTTCTGTTCCCAGGTGGCGTTTGGGTTAGCGATGTTGCTACCCGTCAATAAAGATATACGTTTTGGATTACTATGTGTGGCATGTGTGCCAGGAGGCGGCCTTGGGCACGTGGCTGTCATGATTGGCGACGCTGACGCTCCTCTCAGCCTCACCATGAACATGATCAGTGTTGTGGCTATGTTAGGTAAGTATATATCCAACATAGTTATATGGTAATAATATTCTAACAAGACATTTTAGAATCCTGCATTCTGATTGGTCTGCCTGCAGTTTCAAATCTACGTTAGACCATCATTTTGAGTGAGTGAGTGAATACTGCTTAACGCTGCGTCATCAATCTTGTAGCTATTCATGGCAAAGATGATAAATCACTGCAAAGGCAAAAAACATTATTTGTAAGCACAAACTTGACCAGTAGGCAATTTCAAATATTTATTTACAATTCTGTTTGGATTGTGATAGCTAAAACACAAATGCAATACCTGGTAACTATAGTAACAATATATATTTTTTCCAACATGTATAATCTGGAACAAATTTTTTTTTTTAAATTCAAAACTTAAAAAAATCACAGGCTTCTTCCTGAATATCAAATGGTGGTCTCTTCATATTCTTACTCTGCATGAAAAGAAAACGAGAATAGGTTGGGTAGTCAGAACAATACAACGTTCTGTATGAACGTTATCACCAGCGTTAGAACAGTGACCTGTAGAGCATCACTACCAAAGGTTTCTGTATTCCAATTCTTCATTATGTCTAAACGAACACAGATCTAAGTAAGGCAAAGCCTGAACCAACATGGCTTCCCCCCATCAGACACTGCACACACAGTAACTGTATCAAGTTGATCAAAGGTTATAATAAATTACAAAGCTAATGTAATGTCTGGCTGTAATGAAGATCTGCTGGTGCTGCAGATCAGTATGTCTTCACTTGAGCTAATGTTAAACTTAATCACAGTGCGGTTGTAGTCCCCTGCCAAGTCAACACAGCAAGGGGGTTTGTACTGAATGCAATCAGAGCCTGCACCATGTACCTTGCCTTGTGTGTTTGTTCATGGTTAGACTTCGTCACAACCCTCCGGGCACCAGTTGTAGCTGGACTTGGTGGGTCTTCCACACATGGAGAGGAGTATTTGATGGGGAACGATGTTCCATGCTGCTGTCAGTGTAAAGCTGTGGCAAACACGGTTTACTTCCACCAGACCTGACCTACTGGGCTAACAGATGGCTGCTGGCCTGTGTTCAGAATATTTAACTTTCTCAAAGATAGTTATATTTATAATCTAGACGATTTAATCTTACATTCCAATTGAATAATGTGGGTTTGTGTGCATTCTACTGCACTAGGCACACTTAATAAATTCACATCAAAATAATGACATATAGGAAAATTCTCACCATGTTAACAGTTTTGAATAAAGGTACAATTAATGGCATTACTTTTCTCAAAATAATTTTACCACCTTTGGATAAAACATTCATGCATAAAAAATCATAAAAATCTGTATATACTACATTGTAGTTTGTTAATCTTTAGCAAAGGACCAAAATGTAAGCATTTACTTATTTCCGTGAATCTCTATGACAGTGCTAGGGTGTTACAATGCAGTGACGTCACAGTTGAAACAACGGTACTGGGTGTGTGGGTGAGGCAGTGGTTTCTTAATTATCAAAGTAGGTCTGCGTATGTAAGGAAGTGGTTATTTCTGTCCTTTCAGGCAATAATATTTATCAATATTCTTGACATCTGTAACATATGTCTTGATCTTTAATAGGCTAAAGCAACATTTGCTCATACACGATAACTGTGTCAAAATGATTACTGGAGTAGAGCTACATTCTCAACTTCAGAAAACTCAGTCTTTCAAACTGAAGTATGTAATAAATTCTCATATCACATGGATACAACAGAATATCAATATATATATTCTGATATTACATGGATAGAAAAGTATATCAATATACACCCTCTCATATCACATGGAAAGAACAGTATGTGCCCTCTGATATCACATGGATAAAACACAATATCAATATGCATCCAATGATATCATAGGAAGATGACTCACCCTTCTCATCAGTCATCCAAAAAAATAATAGCATATAGACAAAATATCAACAATCAGAAGCTCCAACTCATCAAATGGCTACTTTTAAAATGGGCAAGATTGTTTCAAGTGAGTGAACAAAGTTTCTCCAGTATATTACCTCCTTGAGTATTGAGCCAGGGATTTTTCTGGACCTGCTAACAGGCTGATAATTTGGCTCTAAGTCTGCAGCAAATGTCAGCAAATATTCCCACATTGGAATAAAAATGTCACAATTCTTGTTTATATAGGTATAACAAATGTAATGTTTTTTTGTTTTTTTGTTTAACGCCGCACTCAGCAATAGTCCAACTATATGACGGCTGTCTGTAAATAATCAAATCTGGACCAGACAATCCAGTGATTGATATGAGCATCCATCTACGCATTTTTGATACAATGACATGCTTCAAACAAGTCAGCAAGCCTGACTTACACAATCCTGTTAGTCGCCTCTTACAACAAGCATAGTTGCCAGTTATGGCAAGCATGGGTTGCTGAAGACCTATTCTAACCGGATCTTCATGGGTCTAATGTAATGTATGGATTTGCAGGGGTGACCTGTATTTTACTGACAATAGCACCAATACAGAGGAAGAGGCTTTAATTTATTGAATGCAAAGTCAAAATATCTTAATATTAAGCAAAAAGTAACTTTTTCCCAGTTTGCCTGTCATTGGCAAGAAGTTTGGATTCCTAGATAAATCCCTGTGAGTCCTACATAATGATCATGTGTTTACGAACAGTTTCTCAATCATCATGATAATTAGTGGTTGCTCTTTGACCAACAAGTAGGTCTTCCCAATCAGTGTCTGAAACCCAACAATGTCAACTTTCCCTCAACCCTCAATTCAAGGACCAGTTTCGCAATGAGAGGAGACACATTAACCTCAAGTTAATGACCAAATGCAAGAACAATTTCAGCAGTGACCTGGTCAATATGGCCAATGGTTCTTCTTGTCTCTCCTTCATCTAGAGTCACATCCGGCAATTCTAGAACCAATTTTCTTCAACTCGTATCTCAGGATGGATGTCTGATTATATGTCTTGCAAAATAACATACGTTCATGAGATGAAATGGACAAGAGCGAAATTGATGTCGACAACAGTCACCGAATCAATACGCACCAACCTTCAGTTAATTCACCAACCTCAATTATTAAAAAGCTGTCCCTTTGAATAAACGATGATGATTATTGCCTGGGTCTGTACATTAAATACTGACAACCCTTGTTTATGCAGATACCAATGCCTCAATTTATTCAGATTCCATCTCATCATGGGAATATTCAGAAAAGTTGGAAGGTTCTGAAATATTCATATGCTTCTATTCCTGATCAAACCCACTGCCAGTCAAAACTTATGCTCAAAGGGTTTCTTGGAAATTGTTGTTATTCTATTCCTAAATATTTTACAAGTCTATTTTCACTATATATAACATTACCTAGACACATGAATCTGAAAATGACCATATTGATATTAAACTTTACATGAACTATTTTCTTTCATAAACATTTTAGGCCTGTTATCAATATTAGAATACTTATTTGCAATAACAAAATCGTGCATCCTTTCCTTTGTGTGGAGCTGTTTATTGATATGATTACAAAGAATTCTATTTAATATGTCATTTGCCATGACATTGTTTGGGTCGATCTGTTTAGTTGGAAATATAGATGCTACTACTGTAGGGCAGGATTCTAAACATTGTCACAGTAACATGCATATGTAGTGAGGCCTTAGAAGGCTGTGTTTTCCATACATAAGGTGGTCAATAGCCAGAGACTACATACAAAGCATTTCATGAATTAGCGGTAAAAATGTGTATGAATTTTGTATGTTTGTATGTTTTTACAGCTCTTTCAAAGATCGATTGGTTTTGGCAACCAAAATAATTTGATGATATTATATTTCCTTTACCATGATTGCAGCTTTTGTCTGCGGTCAGTTGAATACAAAAAGAAAGATAAAGAAATCTGTGGCCTAATATTCATATGCATTCCATGAAAAAAAGGAGCAGGAAATATACTACCCAACTTTTATATGACTAAAGTTAATCTGTCATGGCCATGAAAAACTGAGTGTTCTTTAACTTCTTTTGAGTAGAATATATTTGATTCGATCAGTTTCTCGGGGGCTAAGTAGATTATTTACAAAGGAAATATCTATGCATAAAAGCTATTAAGTTCCCTTCATAAATCCAACCTAACAAGGCTGACATGTCCAAACACTCCCATTGAAATGTACAAGCGCATAGTGAAATAGACAACTTATGCTCCTGTCATTAATTAGTGATGCCAATGATTACTCTTCTCAATACTACTCATTTAGCACACTCACTCTACCATTATTGCTGAAAGGGAGCAATGAGGCAAAATTAGACGCAACAAAACAGTCACTTGTTCCACTGAACCACATTTCGAGTCATTAGCAACACGAGGCTCAGCTTCAACACAACAAATAACCCAGGAAAAGCTTGAAATAAATGGCGCCGAATCGAAACATAAAAACATTAGCGTCTATGCATTAAATGGTCACATGATAAACCAGCTCATGAAGGAGAAGATTCATTGCTAACAATGCCCATTGATGAAGACGCCACAACAGTTGAAATAGGCAGTCGTCAATTTCAGTAAAACTGTTTGTGATCGATGCGTATGATGAACAATCAACACGCAGTGTTTTAAACTAACACTATCTCGAATCAGTTTGCATGTTATATGGAGCTGAAGAGGCAGATCTGTTGGATGAATGCTAAACATTCTAAAATCCCCAACATTAGGTGTGATATTAAGGAGAGTTTGGTGAAAAGGAATACTTGTTGAAATGTTTTTTCCCAATATCGAATTGCTCCATTTCAATTCCTGATACATTATTCTCTGCCTTCATTTCCACTCTGGCCAACATGGACCAGATCATGGGGTCTCAGCAAAGTTTGAGTATTTTGTCATGCTATTCAACATCACCTAATCAACACATATAAAGAAACAATAGCGGCAATGAATGGGGAAATGATTATTAAGTATCAATGGAAACTTGTTTTTGTCCTTTTGAATGATCAGGGAGAGTGCATCTGTGCTATGTTGTTTTTTAAA